AGCCGCAAGTAGACATACAGACTAGCACAAAGTACACTCCCATCGCCATTTCCTGTGTGTTCTCTGTAGTACGATAGGAGCAGGGGGCAGGATAGATGCGTTAATTCATTTACAGCAATGCCAGAATTGTCCCGTCTCTTACCTAATTCGTCTGGCTAGTGTACCAAGGAAACTGTAGACGGGATAAGCCGCAGGTTACTGACACGGCGCGTGGCTGCGCCTAGGCGTGTCATCGGCTCCCCATATGTGGCATTTGTTAGATGCCTTGATGTGGGATCTCTGTTGGTACGGCATGTCTGCAACATGGCTTCTTACAATGGCACACACAGAAAATTAGTAGCTAGGGTAGTATAACACTGAAACGGGTAAATAATAGCAGGTCCTAATTCTACCAAACCCGTTAAAGAATACTAGGGAAGGAGTTACCTCCAAGAACTAACGGGGGGGTACATCTCGGACAAATTTTGCAAGTTACTTTGCAATAGCTGAACAATTAGGAAAAACCCGTCCTCCAAAGAGGGGAAGACGTAATTTTGCAATACATAGACACTTGCGTATGCTACAAAAGGTGACGATATAGTAGTGTCAATACTACTTCTGTAAAGCATGGCATTAGTGGACACGATTCGAAGACGAATAACCTCGACGAGGGTAAAATCCTATGTTTGATCCTATGTGTCTATTCTTTTTCACAGACAAGAACAAGACTGCGAAGCACATGACTTCACCATTACGCTGTAAGCACCCTGAAATATTGAAAGCCAAATGGCGTAAGTGGAGAAGTGGAACAATGTGGAATTACTCACTTCGTCGGGACGGCCGTCAGAATCTTCTAATTCGATGTAAGGTTTCTCTTGTACCCTGTTCAAGTCCTCGTGCAGAAAGTCGAGGAGAAACACCATCAATTCGTGGGCATCATGCTGTTGATATCCAACGAACTGGGGAGCATAGTGGCCTATCGATATCTAGATGTAAGTGATGGAAACAGGTCCTAAATATGAAGATTACATAAAAAGG